CGGGTCTCGAACCCACGGGCTCAGGCAATCCACTCACCTCGGCCTCCCAAAGGCGCGGGGTTACAGGCTGAGCCACCGAGCCTGGCTAAGAAGATTTTTAAAAGTAAATTGTAGATGTGTGACAATGCTTAAAATATACCAATAGAAAAAATTTAATGTTTATAGTATGATTTCATTATGTAAAAATCTGGAGAAAAGCATGAACTATACTGTGAAAAGTTAATAGTTTTTCAGTTGACTTTGGGTGGTTCTATCTTTCTACTTTGTAATTTAAAAAATAATTTTGCAGATACGTAATACATATGTATTAAATTTTTTTTTTTTTGAGTCAGGGTCTCTTTTACCCAGGCTGGACTGCAGTGGCATAATTCTGGCTCACTGCAGCCTCCAACTCCTAGGCTCTAGTGATCCTCCAGCCTCAGCCTCCCAAGTAACTGGAACTACAGGCATGTGCCACTACACCCAGTTAATTGTTTAAATTTTTTGTAGAGACATGGTTTCGCTGTGTTTCCCAGACTGATCTCAAACACCTAGGCTCAAGTAATTCTCCCGCCTCAGCCTCCCAAAGTGCTAGTATTGCAGGCGTGAGTCACCTTGCCTGGCCATGCATTAATTTTATAATCAGGAAAAAGTCTTTATAAAATGTAAATTGCAGTCAAGCATCTTTGGATATGTTACTCTTGTAAGCGCAGCTAAAGTTGAACACATGTTTTTCAAACAGGTCATGTGTTTATTATTTCTATCAATATTTGCACATGGTATCTAGTTATATATAGTAAGCTAGTTTGAAAAACATTGAAGATGAACCAAAGTTTTATTGCTGCAATAATGTCTGATCGTCTCATTTATAATTTACTCTGTTGTATCTTATATGGGTTTTGCTTTTTTATCTTGGGATACTGATTTTAGAAAAATAGATTGGTTATTGATCATTACTTTTTTTAAAAAGTACCAATAAAAAAATGTTCAGTTTGTCAAACAGAAAAGAAAATGCCTTTGTTTAAAGGTGTCAGAAATAAGTACAATTAAATTAAAACAGCAGCCTTTCTAAGTTATGGGACCTTCTCTGTGCCACCAAAGAATATATTCCATGTAAAGGAAGAAAGAAAATCAGGTTAGAATAAAAAGAAGAAGAAGAAGAAGTGGGGAAAGATAGGTTAGAGGAAAGGAAAAATGACTTTGTATATGATAGCAAGCTCAAGAGATGCTTGGTCCTGGCAGTCTAACGAAGCTGCCTGCCCCACTGGGAGGGGTGTTAGAGCAGACACAGGCATCAGGTGGTCCACCTCTCTGAAGTTTAGTGATTGGCCTGAGAGTGTACATTCTGCAGTCTCTTAGCAATCCATCCCTCATCTCTCAGTTGCCTCCTTACCTCCTCATTTATTTTCATTTTTAGATTATGAGCTTTTATTATATTTTCTAAAACTAAAATTTGTTCCCTGAAGATTCTTTTTTGGAGCACAGTTTTCCAGATCTGTCACTACGTATTAAAAGTGTCCAGGCCAGGTATAGTGGTTCATGCCTGTAATCCCAGAACTTTGAGAAGCTGAAGTGAGAGGATTACTTGAGTCCGGGAGTTCAAGATCACCCTAAGCAACATAGCAAGACCTTGTCTCTACAAAAAAGTTAAAAGAGTAGCCGGGCGTAGTAGCACACACAAAAGTGTGAAAAGCTAGAATTCTTGAACACTTTAACTCTCTGCCAGGCCAAGTTCCAAGCTCTTCCCGTGCATCAAGATATTTCATCCTTGCAAATTAGTGCAATCTCTTTGGAAGACAAGTGTGGCAGTTTCTGAAAGAACTACAAACTGACCTTCCATATGACCCAGCAATTCCCCTACTGAGAATATACCTGGAAGAACTCAAGTCATTTTACAAAAAAGATACCTACACATGTATGTTTGTTGTAGCTCTGTTCACAATAGCAAAAACGTGGAACCAACCATGTTGCCCATCAAAGCTTGACTGGATAAAAAAATGTAGTATATGTACACAATGGAATATTATGCAGCCATGAAGAGGACAAACATATGGACTTTGCAGCAACTTGGATGGATTTGTAGTCTATCATATTCAGTGATCTGTCACAGAAACAAAGCACAGAGTACCATATGTTCTCACTCATAAGTGGACCTTGAACAATTATAATGCTATAAGAAAGTGATTG